CCCCAAAACCCCAAAACCCCAAAACCCCAATTTTTAAAATAAAATTGAAACTTTTCTCATAACATTGTGGGGTTAAAGCTCAAAATTTCTAGAAATTAAGGAGACTAAGAAGCATATGCTTTTGAGCTCATTTATGATTTTAATCCGATTATCTACTTTGAGCATAAGACCAGGGTTAATCAAAGAATGATGGATCGATCGATTCTTCTAACTCTTTACGGCAATTTTCAAAGAGCCTTGCCTTTCTTTTCTTCTCTTGGATAGCATCTTTGGTTCTTTTACGAAGCCTTTTAAGTTCATTCTTCATGAGTTGGGGATTTTCGGTGTAATAAATGTTCTTGTTTCTCATTCTCATGTCTGTGGTTGTTAGGTTGGTAACCACTCCGCCCCTGATTCTAGGCTCTTCAGTGACCAAATTCTCTTGGAGAGTAAATACAGTTTGATTTTTCTTTTCTGTCTATTTTGTAAAGAATTAGAGGATTTATAGAAATTAGAAGCTAAAAATTACTCTTCTTTTGTTATCTTTAGAGTGATGCATATTTTCGCTGATCTGAGTGTTAGCAGCATTGTAGTCAACAGGCACGAGTCCCTTGTTTTTCTCGAAGTGATCTGATTGAAACCTTTGAATGATGTCATCACCTTTGACAAGTTGGTTACCATCATCATTGACAGCTATTTCAGTGTCAAATTTAATCTTCTTAAGTTTCTTTTTCTTGAAAAGCTTGTTAATCTTGTTCCTTTTAGACCTAAAAATTAAAGCAGAGGTTTTTACTTTTCTGTGTGTAAAATCTCTGGTTGATCATCGCAAGAGATACCAAGACCAAGGATATCGTAGGCTTTATCGCCTGGGTGTTGGCCTTTCTCCTCCTCAATCACGCTGTTATCCTCGTAGGGATCGTAACGATTCGTGACATCATGTCCTGTCATATCTACATTTATTGCTGAAATTTCTGCGTTGTAGAGATCACTTGTTATATTCTTATTTGGCATCATGAAGTCCATGTCTATAAGGAGATATTTTACTTCATCACAGAGAATATTTTTAAGAGGATTCCTACTTCTGGTTGCCGGTTAGCCCAGTGAAAGATCTATTATGATCTCCATAGCTACGATCTTGCGAGTTATCTAGCCTGTCCATTACTTGATATTTTCAATTTTTTAAAATATAAATGGGGTTTTGGGGTTTTGGGGTTTTGGGG